AAGCCTAACGTCCCGAATCGATCCGTTCACGGCGGATCCATCATAATGTCGATGAATAAGGAATACCCTTCCGACGAGAACCTACCAGGTCCGTCTTGGAAACACCAGGAGATCGAGAAAGCTTCGCGGGAGTCGAACACAGATACCCCACCAGAAGACGAGAACGCGAAGTTGGTAAATACACTCCGTCGAAAAGAGAGAGCCCGCGACATCGTCTACAAGCAGGTGGAGGTCATCAATGAAGAGATAGATTACCTCAACGCCAACGAAGAACCCGCAAAACTCGCCAGAACCGTCGATTTCATTACCCGCTCACTGCAAGCGGCAGAGAGGCAATGCGAAAACCTGACGAGTGAGATTAACGATCTACTGGCACAGACGGGGGCGGAACCAGCCGACACCCCTGACCGACCGTTTAGATACGGAAAGTGTATCGTCCAGCTCCAGCGATGCTTGGAGGAATAGAACGAGTGGGTTAAATTCGCCACAGCACAAGTTTCCCGATCCAGATCGTCGTCCTCAACGTCCGAAAACGCCGCGAACGCGAATGGCATTCAGGGGGAGCCTCCGGTGCAAAGCACGCCCATAGGTGAACCACGAAAGAATCCCGACCCGGAAGTCAGATTCAATCACAGCTTCCTGGACACGAGGAGTTTGGAAAGGCAAGGAGAAGTTGGGGATTCCGGGGCCAACCATAGGACCAACAACCGTCCTCCACCACTCCCGCCAGGCAGAAATCTATACTTTCCACCCGAGAACCCGGTACGGAATCCGATCGGATTCTCAGGAGTCACCAATCTCACTAGCAGCGGAGGCCAGGCTCAGATGCCGCCCGGGTTACCGGCTCGGTCGATCACAGGAGCCACAGTAGACCAGGACTCCATCATGGACTTTTCTCACCTGGAAAATACATGGCTACAGCCCAGAACGGCGGAACGCTTCAACACGTCGGACAGGTTCTCCCTTGGTCGGAAGGCCCGTGAAGTTCCCCGATTCAGCGGAGATACCCGGGAGTTCCGAAAATGGCAGCAGCTGCTCAAGGTGTTCGTCGACGATACACCACGGCCGACGATGGAAAAGTTCAATCTCTTGCGGCATTCCTTATCGGGGAAAGCTCTAGATGCCATTGCTCACCTTCAATGGGAAGAGAGCCACTATGCTTTGGCGAAAGAAATAATACATGAGCGATTCGGCGACAGCAAGCTCGCGCGAAATTCCCACATCAGGGAAATCGACAAACTCCTGGAACGAGGATTGATCCAGTATCATCGCCTGGAGTCTTTCTCGGAGACTCTGAGCCTGAATGTGAAAGCTCTCCTGGCGCTCGACAACTCCTACGCAGAACTGTCGACAGCCACAATGCAACGCATTTTGAGATGCCTGCCGACAGACCTGAGAGAGAAATTCATCAGAAAACTGGCGAAAAGGAAGTTGTCGGACCCATTAATAACAGATCTCGAATTCATGCTAGAATTCCTCAACCTTACGGTGAAGGTTCGCAGGGAAGCAGAATTGGAGGGCGGTGGTTTTCCCCAGCGCGATTCGAGAAGACCCACATTTCATCAGGGGAAACCACCAGCATCGAAGCCACGTCATTTTCAACATCAAGCATATACGCCACACAGGGCAACGCACAACTTCTTCACGAGTGGCCAGAAGCAATCCTCGGGAGACAGTAATCAACACTCTAAAGTTGATAAATCGTGCATCTTTTGCGGGGATGACCACGAAAGCTTCAGATGTAAGGCGACACTGACCCTTGAGGAACGCCGAGAAAGAGTGATTCAACAGAAGGCATGCTGGATTTGTTTGAAACGCAACCATTCCGCGAAGACTTGCCGAGACGGCCCGAAGAGGAATTGCGCGAAATGCAACGGACGACACTACGTGATCATGTGTAAGAAAGCGCAGCTCGATACCGCATCATTCATGATCTCGACGGTTCCCACCACGACTACAACGGTGGCAATGGCATTCGATGGGAAAGGAAATGTCGCAGAGCCAGAAATACTCCTACCATTAGCGGTGGTATGGATTGGTACGAAGACTAGGCGGGCGCGAGTCAGGGTGTTGCTGGACTCCGGAGCCCATCGCTCGTACATCGTGTCGGAAGCAGCAAACCTAATAGGCGCAGTGCCTACGGGGGCCATCAAGACGGCGATGAAGACTATGGGGAACGTGGTCACAACCATGGATACCTGGCTTCATAGGATCACCATCACGAGCCAACACGATCCGAGCATCGCGATCGACATCGACTGCATAGAAGCGCCGTCAATCACAGACTCCGAGTTCCCGGAGGTGACCGAGAACTTCGGACTGCTTCCCGTAGCGGACAAGATGATGGACGCGAGCTCTCCACGATCGATTTCACTTATTATCGGGGCGGTGGATCTAGCGAAAATCTATACGGGAAGAATGGAATCTTTCGGGAGGATGTTAGCGACATCCTCCATATGGGGCTGGGTCTTCAGTGGTACTCTGGCAGAGTCCGCACACGCGACGCACACCGCAGCATTACTCTGCGAGCTGCGAGCATCACTACCAACGGTGGTAGATCGGGAAAAACGAGCAAGTTAGCGGCTTCGCTCCAGTCACCCCCCACGCGGAACAGACCCAAGAATCCAAGGGATGTGTCAGTCGACGACGATCTCAAGTTCCTCTGGGAAGGGGAATTCATGGGTGTGGACCCGACGTTGCCGCAAGAGACCGACAAGCTCAACGAAGAGCTGAATGAATTCTTCGAGAGCACGGTGGAACGGAGACCCGACGGTCGAATCAGGTTGAGCCTCCCGTTCAAGGATAATCTCGACACCCTAGGCGACAATGAAAACCTGGCAAGGTCGAGACTCCATGCTTTCCTCAAGAAGTTGAAGAAGTCCCCAACGAAGCTGGCAGCGGTAGACAAGGAGATCCGTGATTATCTAGCCAACGGTTTCGCGGAGGAGGCCACGCCGCGCCAACAGGGCCAGCTGGCCCATTACCTCCCGCTCCAAGCAGTTTTCAAGATGAACGAAAATGAGACGAAGATAATCAAGACGAGAGTGGTAAAAGACGCCGGGGCTCGGAGAAGTCACGAAGCGGCTCTCAACGATTGTCTCCATCAGGGGGAAAACTTGCTTCCGCTAATCCCGAAAGTGTTGTGCGCTTTCAGAGAAAGTACCTACGCGATCACAGCGGATATTGAAAAGGCATTTCTACAATTCGAAATCAATCCCAGTGATCGCACATTCCTCCGATTCTTATGGCCGCTCGGTATCGCTGAGCGGCCTGACGCACCGATTCGAGAATTTTGGACGAGGGTGCTAGATTTCGGACTGATATGCTCACCATGGTTACACATCAAAGGTGTGAAGCATCATCTGACAGAGTGCATACGTCAGTTCCCGGCTGACGAGAGGTTCATTAGAGAAATCGCAGACAACTTATACATGGACGACGTCTGTTTTTCGGCAGATTCCCATACAGACGCGGAGTATAAGATCGCGAGAGCATTCGAGATGTTCCAGCTGGCGCATTTTCCTCTCAGGAAATGGGGCACGAGCGATGAACGAATCGCAGAAGCAATCCGTCGGCTCTCCCCGCTGGAAAACACATCGATAACCGTGGGGGATGACGACGCGAAGTTCCTCGGAGTTAGATGGTACCAATCAACGGACCACCTTGGAGTTTTCACACAGAAAGCGTTAACGGAGCTTTCTAGGGACAGCCCATCGAAACGGAAACTACTCAAAGGACTCGCACAGATATACGATCCCCTCGGAATCATCGCTCCAGTCTCAGTCAAAGCGAAGATTCTCTTCCAATCGCTCTGGAAAGAGGCGATCGACTGGGACGACAAACTTCCAGAGAAGATCATACTTCAATATGACGATTTCGTCCACACCCTGCAACGGTGTTCGGACTTCAGAGTACAGAGACCATTGACTTCGCGGTTCTCGGCCGCGAGATTTGAGCTACATGCATTCTGTGACGCGTCCCTCGAAGCCTACGGAGCCGCGCTCTACCTCCGCTCGGTGGACACGGACTACGCAGAATCACGCTTGATAATAGCTAAGGCACGCGTCGCGCCAACCAAGCAGAAGTGGTCGATTCACCGTTACGAGTTGATGGGAGCACTGATGGCCGCGCGAATGGCAGCGAACATCAGAGGTTACCTAAAGATCAATATCTCGAGTGAATTCTTTTGGATCGACAATATGGCTTGCGTTTCCTGGATACACAGCGCACCAGAAAAGTGGCAACCATTTGTAGCCAACAGGGTTCGAGAGATAGCCAGGCTCACAGCGACAGACGCATGGCGCTATGTCAGGTCGGAAGAGAACCCCGCAGACATACTGTCTAGAGGAACCGACATCTCAGATTCGGAGAGCCGTTCTCGATGGCTCCATGGCCCGTCGTGGCTGTGTGACTCACGGTGGAAAGCACCGACGGACAACCAGCCGGTGACGGAGACCGAGATCGAGAAGGAGCCATCGATTCAACAGTGCCTACATACGATTCAGCCCAGAGCGAACAACGCGGTCGACAACTTATTCGATTCAACCCGGTTTTCGTCATGGAGCAAATTCGTGAGAACACAGGCTTACTGCAACCGGATCCTAGCGTTCGCTCGAAGAATTAAGTCGAAAAGTCCTCCGAGCGGTAACCGAAGACCGACGACGAAAATCGAACGCGGTGACGCGCTCCAGATAGATTCGATCGAATATCAACGAGCCGAAAAGGATCTCCTAAAGAGAATTCAGGGAAGATACTTTCGAGCCGAAATCGACGATCCACGCAATATCCCGACCTCCAGCAGGATTGCACAGTACCATCCCTTCGTGGGGGAAGATGGTCTGCTGAGAGCACGATCGAGATTAGAAAAATCCTCAACTCACACGTACGACGAAAAATTCCCGATTATTGTCCCAAGCAACGATGGATGGGCAAAATTAGTAGCGCTCACTGTTCACGGCAGAGAGTGTTGGCACTGGGGAGGCATAGCTTTCACGCTACAGAAATTGAGAGAAAGATTTTCCCTGCTGAAAGCCAGAAAGATAGTCCATGAAGTTCTCCGAACGTGCCCGGGATGCAAGCGCTTCAACGCGAAACCGGCGATAGAACCCACCCCAGCGTTACCGGCGTTCAGGGTAGAAAGGACGCCGCCGTTCTTCTTCTGTGGTGTCGATTTCGCGGGACCCATCTTCTACCGAAAGGAGAATGGGAAGTCGGCAAAGTCATATATGCTGCTGTTCACATGCGCAGTATCACGAGCAGTTCATATTCAATTGACGATGGACCTGTCAACATACGAAGTACTGCGAGCCCTACAGAAGTTTCTGCACCGATTTCCGTCCGCACAGAACTTCATCTCAGACAATGGCGCATCATTCCGACGAGCCGACCTCGAGATTAAGCTCATATACTCCCATATCGTAAAGGGAGAAATCTCGAAGTGGCTATCCGACTCCAAGCTGACATGGAGATTCATCACACCAGCAGCTCCGTGGGTCGGAGGATTCTGGGAACGAATGGTCGGATGCGCGAAGCGATGTCTGCAGAGGACGCTCGGCTCGAATATACCATACTTCAGAGACTTGGAGGTTATATTGTCCGGAGTCGAAGCGATAATCAACCAGAGACCGTTAACGGCGGTCTCCACAGATCCGAATGAGGTTAGAGCGCTGACACCAGCGAATCTTCTCTACGGGTACGAGGGTACTTCGCAGCTGCCGGAGTCGGAGGAAATCCCGAAACTTCGAAAGGACATCGGAGCTGTGGTTTTTTCGAAACGATGGAATTTCCAGCAAAAAATGCTATCGGCGTTCTGGAAGCGGTTCCACTCGGAGTATCTCGCCTACCTCAGATCTGCAAACTCACGGCGGCCGGTCAAGGAGCGATCACTCAAAGTGGGAGAAGTCTGCCTTTTGAAGGAAGAAAACGCTCCGAGATCTCAATGGCCGCTGGTGCGGGTGACGGAGCTCCACCCCAGTACAACAGACAACAGAAACCGAACATGCACGATTAGATTTGGCAATGGAAAGACGCTCCTCCGGCCGACGAAATTATTATATCCCTTGGAGCCGGAATCCACGGACCCCCTATTATAAACGATTAATTCATCTTAAGAGCGCCGCTCGAGACCAGGAGGGACAGCCAAGCCAGCTGACCTATTCTAGGAAAAAAGAAAAGAAGCAGAGAATCGCATTCAAAGACGTATTTATTAGAAGACTTCGCCTTCTTCAATTTCACTATCCCCATCGGTGACTTCACCCTCCTCGGGCTCGTCAGCTTCTTCGATGCGTATGTCGAGGGCGTCATCGCTATCGTCCGAATCGGGTTCGCAGAGTCGGATCCCGGCGAAACGCACGAGATCCTCGGATTTCAGGCGAGTGGTGGAGCGTCGGGCCCTCCGGGTGTACCGCTTGGCGAGCTGCAGACTGGAGGGAGGTCCTTGTGGCGCGCCGGGACTTCGCTGCGTGCCGGAACCCCGTGGCGGCACGGGCAGGACGCGAACGACACGCGGGCCCGACGGGCCGGGAAGCTCGACAGACACTCTGAGCTCGGTCGCGGGGGAGGGAGCCGAGCTCGCGGAGCTCGGGCTGCGCTCTCGGGGTGACACGGATATTTCCACGATTCCGGCCGGGTTCTCGGGTACAGCGTGGGCCGGGCCTGAACGCTGGGCGCCTCCGGGGGTCGGGCTCGGGCCCGTCTCGTCCACGGCGTTTGCGGTTGCGCGGTCGACCTCCTCGACGGGAGCGGGGGGGGAGTGGCGGGCGTACTGGCGGGGCGTCGTCGGAGGAAGCGGCGGAGGAACGGACCACTGATATATTGTGGGGCACCTTCGGGATGGGCTCCCAACGCTCGAAGCTCTCGAGACTTTTGGAAGTACTCGCCCCGCTGCTCGTGCGACATAGCGGCCCAGGGGCCCATCAGCAAATCGCGGGACTCGGCCCAGCTCAGACGGGCGACATCGGGCACACGAACACGCACCGCACAGACATAGATTCCGAATGGAGAATTGTGGAACGTTTTGCGACTATCCACGGACTTCTTCGAGGCGCGACCGCGGCTTCTGGGGGGCCTAGCCGAGGATGCTCCACGGTTCGGGTTGAATCGCCGTTCATCGTCGTGAATACGCTCGGTGTCGCCGGGCAGACGTAGAGGTGGCATGAGTGACCCGGAGGAGGGGAACAACAGCAACGCGAGGTTTTGCACCGGGAGCAACGCGAGGGAGTTTCTGAACACAACACCGACGGACGGATCAGTGGTGTGGAGTCGAACAAAGCCCGTCGACATCGGCGGCTAAGACAACACAACGGCCGAAAAGAGGAACAGAGCGATCGGGTTTCGCCCGGAGGTCGAGGAAAATTGAATCTAAGTCGTCTCGGTGGTGTCGTTCAACATTGGAGAATATGCGAAGAGTGGATCGATTACTTGATGGCGGCGTTTCCGGCGCCGGCCCCGGGGAATGTCACATACGACCGATCGTATGGTGCAGTTATCGGCTGTTTATGGTTTAAATATGTATATTTAAGGAAAAGCATTCCGACATGTAGAATAAATACGCGCGCCACGCGAGGGAAGTTTGCACAAAAGGGAAAGAGGGAAGGAGAAAAACAGTACAGTTAAGCTCGCTCCGACAATCGTAGCCGGTTAGCGCAATAATCGATTACCGGA